TATCAGGGAAATACAGTAAACCAGAGAGGCCGGTCAAAGACAAAGAAGGCAAGCTAACCACTGAAATTCAACAACAGCGAAACAGATGGGTAGAATACTTCGAGGAACTCCTGAATAGGCAGGCTCCAATGAATCCACCGAACATCGAAGCAGCACACACAGATCTTCCTATAGATGTCAACCCACCAACGACGGAAGAAATTAGAATGGCCGTCAGACAAATCAAGAACGGGAAAGCAGCAGGACCCGACAGCATACCAGCTGAAGCACTGAAATCAGACGTCGAAGTAACCACAAGCATGCTTTACCCTCTATTCAAAAAGATTTGGGAGGAGGAACAAGTGCCGATGGACTGGAAAGAAGGACACCTCATCAAGATTCCAAAGAAAGGAGATCTGAGCAAATGTGAAAACTACAGAGGCATTACACTACTGTCAATACCAGGGAAAGTCTTCAACAGAGTGTTGCTGAACCGGATGAAGGATGCAGTAGATGCCCAACTTCGAGATCAACAAGCTGGATTCCGTAAGGATCGGTCGTGCACAGACCAAATTGCAACAGTACGGATCATCGTCGAACAATCAGTTGAGTGGAACTCGTCACTATACATCAACTTCATTGATTATGAAAAGGCATTCGACAGTTTAGATAGGAGGACATTATGGAAACTTCTTCGACACTACGGAGTTCCTGAGAAGATTGTCAATATTATCCGGAACTCATACGACGGACTACAGTGCAAAGTAGTGCATGGAGGACAGCTGACGGATGCATTCCAAGTAAGGACCGGAGTCAGACAAGGCTGTTTACTCTCTCCCTTCCTCTTTCTTCTGGTGGTCGACTGGATTATGAAGACCTCGACATCTGAAGGAAAACACGGAATACAATGGACAGCTCAGAACCAATTAGACGATCTGGACTTCGCAGACGACCTAGCCCTCCTATCACGTACACACGAACAGATGCAGATGAAAACAGCCAGTGTAACACCAGTCTCTGCATCAGTAGGCCTCAGTATACACAAAGGGAAAACGAAGGTCCTCAAATTCAAAGCGGAGAACAGCAATCCAATCACTCTTGATGGCGAAACTCTGGAAGATGTAGGATCCTTCACATATCTGGGAAGCATCGTCGATAGACATGGAGGTTCAGATGCAGACGTAAAGGCGAGGATTGGCAAAGCAAGGGCCGCATTCCTACAATTGAAGAACATATGGAACTCAAAACAACTTTCAACCAATATCAAAGTGAGAATCTTCAATACGAACGTCAAGGCAATTCTACTGTATGGAGCTGAAACTTGGAGAACTACAACAACCACAATCAAGAAAGTACAAGTATTTATAAATAGCTGTCTACGCAAGATACTCAACATCCATTGGCCGGATACCACCAGCAATAGCCTTCTGTGGGAGAGAACAAACCAACTTTCAGCTGAAGAGGAAATTATGAAAAGACGATGGAAATGGATAGGACATACATTACGCAAATCGTCAAACTGCATCACGAGGCAAGCTCTAACTTGGAATCCTGAAGGGAAGCGGAAAAGAGGAAGGCCAAAGAACACATTACGTCGGATAATAGAAGCAGATATGAAAAGGATGAATTACAACTGGAAGGAGCTGGAAAGGATTGCCCAGGACAGGGTTGGATGGAGAATGCTGGTGAGCGACCTATGTTCCTTCACGAGGAGTAACAGGTGTAAGTAAGTAAGTAAGTCATTACCTAAACAAACATTACCACCCGGCTATTCAACCAATAATTGTTCAATCAATCAAATCTAAATTACAATAAATAAAGAAGTTGATAGAAGATGAGGGAAAATTACCAGTCACAACAAATGAACATTATTCTATCCTGACTGGATAGAACACACACAAAAGGAGGAGCAAATCAATATGGCTACCGCCAAGAACAAGTGTCAAGTAAAACAACACAGATGCAGTTCAGGAAGAAACACAAACTTAGTGAATGAGTAAGAAAAACAAAAACTATAATAAAAAATACAAGTATTAACAATTCAAATGTAATCAAAAGACAACAGTGTACAACTAAGGTGATCAATAGGAACAAGGTACAAGTATATACATGGAGGGATTTTCACCAACACACAAAACGTTCAAAATGGATCTTACACTGACCACATTAGTTTTAATGAACTCACCTAGCTGAAGGTGCTCGGTCATGCATCCGCACCAGATCACGAGTAGGAACGCCATGCTCAACATCCCCTACAATCGCTAGTCAGATTAAATCAGTCGATTTTCGATATATGGATAGCTCATCAAATATACATTCAAACGTCCTCTCTTCTGTCTTTTGATTTCACATGGTGGGTACGATTCATAATAGGTGTTACTGGTTAAAGCGTTGTCAAACTCTAAATGCCTGTAGCATCTTCAGCCTCAACATACACAAGGAAAAAGCCAATAACTTGATGCACAGCACGGAGAGCACCAACACAATCACAGTTGATGGGGTAACTCTGGAAGATGTGGAACCTTTCACTCGACTTGGAGGCATCATTGGTGAACAACGAGGATCGGATGCAGACGTAAGATGATTAGCAAATCAAGGGCCGCATTCCTACTATTTAAGAACATATGGAACTCAAATCAACTGTCAACCAATATCAAAATCACAATCTTTAATACGAGCGTTAAGACAGTGCTACTGTATGGAGCTGAAAAGTAAGCAGACATAAAAAGAGTAAATAGCAACTGGAGACTAGTGCAAAGTACTCTCCCGGACAGAGTTGAATGGAGAGTGGTGGTGGGCGACCTATGCTTCTGAGCGAGGAGTAACAGGTGTAAAAAAGTACGTTCGGCTGCATCTATTTCGCTCATTGTCAGACAGTTCAACTCCGGTGACGGATCCACATGAGTTGTATAGGCTGTATTTCTTTTGACCTGTGAGACCTCTTTGATTGGTTTCATCCATTTTTAGTGACAAACCGAAACCGCACTCGTAATACAATTCGTGTAGACCATGAACGTTACATGTAGCTTTTTAAATTCCGTGCTTTCTGAACAGTCTTTTCACTAAAAACTGAAGAATTTGACAGACTCTATTTCTTTGGAATGAAGAACTCTTAAGTCAGGTTTTTATGACCAAACCAAATATCCGGTGCTTTAACCGAGCAGTTGGAAAACCCTGGTTCTAAACAAATGGTGCACATGTTCTCCAGGATCCTGGTGGAGTGAACAGCGCATGAACCGACCATTGATCACCGGCGACCATGTGACTGCATACCCTACGTTGCTCCACTGCCTTGTGGATGAGACCTTTAGGTCAAAGGCTCCGGGTGTGACCTTCTATGAAAAACACTTCCTTCGGTCTGGGCACCCGGGTAGTGTCCTCACACAAATCGAATGATTTATGTGGTGCATATTTATTTGGTGCCTCTTTGTACCAATGTTTATACGTTTAAATAAATAAACATGTCAGGTTTTTATGTCCAACTCTTTCTATGTGTCTTTTGAGGCTGGTAAGATTTTTGCCGAACCAAGGTGTCCCAACTGGTCTACGGACACTAGCTGGTAAATAGTGTTTAGACGACTACCCACAAACGTACGATACTTCTCTCTCAGGTTCCTCATATAGTGTAAAGCTATCATAGGATTAGTGCGGAAACAGATTTTATCTAACATAAGTGTAAGATTCCTTCTTAAAATATTGTTGATCCATGCATTTAAGAGTTCGGGTGCTAACTCTAATTTTGGCACACTTACTGGTCCTATGTGTCCAACTGTTGCCTCAATATGGAACAATATATTAAACAAGTGTTTAAGATAAGGGATGTTCCACAAGTATGCAGCCTCCACATAGCATATCTCGGAGAAATTGCAAAAAATGTGAGTCAGATTCCTCAATGTACTCTTCATCTTCACTCCTTATACTCCTTTTAACGGTGTTTTTCCTCAGCCTCTGCACAAAATTAATCCGCTCTTCACTTGAAGACTGAACACTAGTGCTCGAGGGCTGGTCCAAACCATTATAAGACTTGCAAAATCCGCAAGAGTTGGTTGGCAAGGCATAATAACAAAGCGATAAGCTCAGTGGGTTGAAGACAAAAAAGTAAAGGATATATGTTTCTCAGCCGTATCAAATTGACACCCAAAACATTTTATGTAGCGCGTCTCATTCTTTGCCTACAGCTCTATGGATGGATTTCTGGCTTCAAGACATATCAACTGTTGCTTTTATACTGTTTAAAGTGTGAAAAACTGCCATCATTTGTGCTGAGTTGGTTGCTCACTTCCTCGTTCGACGCCTCCTAGAGCCAATTATTAGTCTAATTGTTTCACGGGTTTGTTGCATCTTTATTGTTTGGAAAAGGTATCAGACAGTCACGAACATAAAATTTGTACAAAATATATTCTACTACATTGTTTTCGTAGTCGTTAGAGAAATTTCCGGAAGTCTTTTCTGTCTAAATTCATACAAAAAGATGAGAACATTACACCGAAAGTGTTTGAAGTCATCTTATATTCTGTGGGCCCGTCCGCAAAATCACGCTCTGGCCACCAAAGATTGCATGGAACACAATCGGACTGTGAGACAATCATGAACATTATCTGTTCATCTACCGACAAGCAAGTAGAAGTAGGATAGCTTCCGATCCCGGAGACTACCGAAACAAATGCACTCATTCAAACTGCAAGATATACAGACCTACAAATAACTACAGAAGTAGAATTAATGCAATAGAGTGGTTAGACTACGGTTATTTTGTGAGCACCAAAGATCTGTGTCTGTACCGAAACAATATGAAAATAGCATAAAGAAACCGATAGGGTTATATAAGTTGCCACAAAGATATTGGATATTGGAAGTCCAGTCGAAACTCAATGCTACTGAATACAATATAGAAGCTTATTTTCTTTTCTTTATGGCAATCCGAAGATACAGAGTAAAATTATTCATATAACCAGTGATACCTTCTCCATTCCAAAAGTTTGGGATCATAATTACATTAAAGCCGTGTTTTGTTTAGGTTCGTTGCTGCCGGACCTTAAAGCCCGGTAGATTCGACTCCATCGTCTTGATTGTTGTCTCACTATTTTTGTGGATATTGTAGTTATTTTCATGTCTTCATATCTTAACAAATATTTCCTAATCCGGTGACAAAGAAATAGTGTTCCTGGGGGAGTTTTTTCGACATGTCAGCTAATTTTATGTATTCCAATACTGCATTATCTTCCCTCATACCGCATCAGCAGCAACAGCACATAGTTACTCAACGTAGTCGGTCAGCTTCAACGTCTAACGCTGGACCAAATGTTCACACACAATATCAAGTTGCTCTCTCACAGCCTTATCAAAACCTTGGCCCTATGGATGGGTCGTGGACTCAGACGCAAGGCATGTATGTTAATGGCTTAAATAAAATGATTAATGTATTTCCTGGGCAAAACATGACAGATATGGAACAAACACCAATCAGTCAGTCAAGTGAGGTAAGGAAAAGACACAAAGCATCTCTAAGCTATCTTATCTGGATCTTACCTGTGTTACGCCTCTCATCAAATAACCTAGCCTTTTAGTTTATCTTAAGTTTAGTTCAAAGATACCTATTGACGTTTTCCGAAACCTATCACTTTGTTCTGAATAGTCTCACTGGAAATCTTCACAGAAACTCCAGACACATTAGCAACTGTGTTCCTTTGTATTTTTACTACTTTTCAATTCCGTTCACTTTAATAGCGTGTACTCTTACCGGTTATTTCACTTGTAATTTTAGTGGCATACCAATAAGGCATTTGTATATATTTATCCTCATCCTTCCTGTGAAATATTTATGGCTATTCTGAGTTCATAAGGTAAGTGTATATCACCTGTTGTTAGCAGTTTCTATAAGGCCACAGAACAATTATTACTTTAACACAGATTATCTGCCTAATAAGAAGGATGTAAAGTGCTTTACAAAACCACAGTAGTTAGTGTTTTCATCAGTCCTGTGATGAAGTTGCATCTAAGCGAATGTTCGACTTGATGTAGTTCATTTATCATGTGCAGATTCGCGTTTTCAGCTTCGGGTCCCATTGTGTGAGCCGCTGCTCAAACTGAAGTACTCAGACTTGCTATCTAGCGGCTATAAGTCGAACTCCTTAGCCATCAAGCCTTCGCACAGCTATGATGGAGTCGCATATTCAATCAATGTACGAACAATCTGAGGAAACAGTTGGTTGTTAGCCTGTGTTGTGTGTAGAAGTACATGTTCTCAAACTTTGAATCATGTGACACTAATGTGCTGTCACACCGTCTTTCAATTTGAAGTATTTTATCACTATTCGTACGCCATGTAATGTGTCTCTTTTGAGGCGTTTCTCTTAAGTTAATTGTTCGTGTTGTTTGGATCTATATCTGTGTAATTATATCTTAACAGTAAACTTGGAAAAATTCCAGGCAAGTGTAAAAGTGCGATGTTCACAATCACAAAACTGAGTTGTCAGTTCGAGTCACGCTTTATTACTAGTTCAAATTCACTAAATACTTCGTTTCCAACAGCTGAAAACTAACATACAATGTTTGGCTCTAAACCTAGTGCTTGTATTTATACATGTTCCCCTTATACGGACGTTAACTTCGCTCACCACATGATTTACAATGAAGAAATAGATAGGATGTCTACCACACTAATAATAACCTCTCCCAATATTAGTTTTAATTAAACGTGCAAAGCACGCACTATTTATTATCGTAGCACTAAAAGTGCACTTATCTTGATTTTACCCACATTAAAACTGATCAAATATTCGTATAAGATATCGGCATCTGAAGAGTAAACGCATACACACGAATCGAGAGTATGCAGTAGTTCTAAGTAAAATAATGAAACTAATCTGTACTACATATCATTCTGTTATAAAATCGGATAAAATTTCCTTTCATGATTTCTCATTACGTCAGGAACTACATCGTTATCAAACACCCACTTTCACTTTTACCTGAAATGTTTCTCAAGCATCAAGTGTTGTATAGCTTCTTCAGCTGTACCAAAACTGATAGGTTACTATCTCTATTGCTGTTCCCGTAGGAAATTGGTTTTTCTCTCCAAGTTGTGCTAGGATAAAATCCGCTTATTTTTACTAAGATTTGCTGTTACAAGAGATCATGACCTTATAGTTTTGACTGGAATGCACAAACATCAAAAATACTACCGAATAAATATTCCTAACTAGTTGTCTCACTATGTATTCGACATTGAGGACCTATGAATCAAATATACACAACGAATAAGATTGTGTTGAGTGACGAAAGCTAACTCTCAGAAGACCTTGCATCTGATACCTGCAGATATGTAGTACCATCTTATCGATGTATCTAAGTAAATAGTCTTTTCACCAGTGAAGATTGCTGACCTAGCCCATAAAGCTTTAAGGTTAAAGGCCCCTCTATTTGTCAGTTATTTATATCGTGTATCCGAATATCCTGTTTCATGTACATAGTCATTCGATAATAGTTATGATCTACCGAATAAATTTTGGTTTAGGCCATCCTGCTGTAATGGTAAATCTTTGCAGCTCAGGTTAGGTATTTTCTTAGACTCAATCCTGGAAGGCAATAAAATCCTACGTTTTCTTTATTCGTATACTTTTAAACACAAAAAGTCAGAGCTTATGGCGAATTGTCATCTGCTTTTGCAACCTCAAGTGGTGTCCATCAAGGCTGTCCACTTTCTCCATTTTATAGCTGATATCATATGCATTTTTCGAAAATAGTGCTACTCGATTTCTCTCATTATTCTTCATAATCTCTTGTAATGCTGTAACAAGTGAAATAAGACAATATTATTCTGAGTTGTCTACGGTTTGCGTATTTTATTTAAACCAGTTTTAAATATTTTTTTCTCAAATCAGAATTATAAATATGCACCCAACGTCAAACTAAATGAATTAAATGCAAGATCGTGTGCCCATTCTTTTCAACCATCAAACGGAAATGCTGGTGGTAATCATGGATCGATTACTCTTGGAGCCCAACAAGTTCATTTTGCCGTGGCGGCTACTCCCAATGGTTTAGTTCAGCCACATACAGGCCTACAAAATCCATCTACATCAATACGCTCTGAACAAACTGGTGTCCTTCATCCAAACTCTCAACATCCATCTGGCTCTTTAGGTCAACCATTTCTTATTCCAGGAATTGTAGGGCAACCGACTATAAGAACATTGACACAGGATAACCTGTCTCCAGCATACAGAGAATCTGGTTCCACTCAACCACTTCTAACATCTGGTTCAAAGCAGGTAAATAATCTTAACAATACGAACACTGCACGTGACCTTCACCCTCGAATTCTTGACGTTAATGTATCAATGAACCAATCAGCCTACGTCCCATCTGTCCCAGTCCAACAACATCCCGTTGTCTCACACCATCAACTATACACGAGTCCTACACTTCAGCCACCGTCGTTACATGGGATGGTAGAGTATGTTCAAGCCGTCTATCCTACTAATCCAAATGTTCATGTTCCATATACACAGCAATCTGCAGCCTTATTTGGGCACTATCCTGCGCAAATAAACGCTGGATTCGATTCAACAATAAATACAAACTTTAATTCACGTATACGCCACAACACTTGGGCTGGTCTCGAAGATAATATGTCCTCTGCTGTGAATCACGATTCATCTGTTAGGAAAATAAAAAACGAAAAAGTTTTAGTTCCAAGTGACTTCCCATCTACAGTCAACGAATATAATTTGAATTCCCATGGTTCATTTACTCAATATACAGCTAATCCATATTTTTCTGGTTTTAATCAGTCATCTTTTTACCAAACAGATGGTCAAAAGCCAGATATCTCTAAATTACCTGGTTCAGTTACATTCCAACATGGTGAAACACAAAAACATCCATGCAGTTATCAAAATCCCGCTTCTTTACAATTTAATTCTTCCTCAGCTATGACCAACAAAGTAGATTTTCCCAGTAATGATGTTTCATATATGACTTCTGTTCCAATAGGTCAGTTGCCTTCAAGATCGAACTATCAGGTTCACAATAGTTCATACTTATCATCAGTTCCATCTTGTATACCCGTTCAAAGCAATAATAACTATATTGGCAGCAATAACAACCATACTGTCTCTTCGCATGCTTATGTTTTTAATTCTGATAATTCAAAAACACTACAACAATCAGCTTATCCCGTAAAAGATAATTATCCGCGCATAAGTCACAAGCCTCGTGAGTGGAATAAATCTAAAGATGCAATCAATTATAAACCTCCATCAAGTTCTAATCACTCTCGTTTAAACAATACAAAATCAAAAAACGTAATTAAGAATTTCTCTTCAGACAAACAAGCTGGTCTTAATGACCGTAAACCTAATTCTAGTTCGATAAATGATAGGTTAACACAAACGGAAAAAAACACTAACTCTTTTACTGTTCAAACAACGTCGAGTTTCGTATCCTCAGGTAGTCAAGGTCTCATATCTTCCTTGTCTGCAACTAACCAAGACTTTAATTCAAACCACCAGCTGAATACAAAAACCACCCATTTCGACTATCCACAGTTCTATACAAATGTTTATGGGACGGTAAACCAGACTAATGAGCAATGTGTTGGAGGACCACCAAAGCATTTGCAAAATTATCAATCATCTCTTGCCAATAATAACGTACTGTCTAATTATGTTCAAGGTCTTCCTGAAAATCTGATAGGTAGTTTGAAATTAAGTGGTTTTCGCTTGGTTCTTGATTCATGTCCAACAAGGTAAGTCTTCATATACTCTCATATACTTATAAATGGCACCTATCGTGACATTGTTTATGTAACAAGAGTTATCAGTAAATATTAGAAATACAGTTATCTTTTTCTTACTGGTATCCTACTTTGAAATGAAATAAGGTTTACTTTTATCCATTTACGTGGTTTGTAAAATCCACATTAATCCGACTAATTCTGAATCTTGGTAATTGAATTTCTACTCATTGTCAGGTACAAACTCGTGTACTTGGCTTCAAGCCATACTCTAAGCATGACAGATAGTAATACCACTCAGTTTTCCAAACTGTAGTGGATGGATTGGGGTCCGAATCTGACTTAGTGACTGAGTTGCGGATGCCTTAACCGCCAGACTTATCCTGGTTATCAAATCTTAAATACTTGAGTAATTAGTTAATGTCGATAACATCTTTACAAACGCACATTTTCGTATTTTAGTGCATAATCATTTCACTTTATATCAATTATTTTCAGTGTATATAACTCTAAATTGACTTTTTTGAATGCCTGGTTTTATCGTAGCTGTTGTCAGTCTGGACAGCTTGTTCTAAAAGAGGTACTTAATTCCTGAGTAGATTATGTTCACTTTCATTACAGTAACAGTCATATATCTTTAAATTATTCATGGAATCTCTTTTGATTCTGCTTGGAAAGCGAAAGTGTTTAGTAATCTAACTACAATCTATCTACTTGTGAAACAACTGTGCTTTTTTTATCAATGAACGAAAGATTTCTAAGCAATCAAAGCGATTTGTGTCAGTTCTTATTGTTTGTACTTTTCCATGTTGGTTACTACGAAGCCGTTCACATGCCATTGATTTCTGCTATTACTGACCTAATAAATAGCTTTCCATTTTCACTTCGATGGATTCACGAAAAAAAGTGTGTGTCCTACCCGTCGTATTCATCGATCATTAAGAATCGAGTTTCTTATGGATACCTAATTGTTCATAAGTACTGCGCCTAGTATTGTTCCATAAATTTTTCTTACTTTTTATTCTTTTCATGTACCTCTAAAGAATGCTAACGTACTTGACTATAGAGTTCAATAAATTGTTAAAACTGGGCTATCTTTGATTCTCTTTCTTTTTGATTATTATTATTATTATTATCAGCTTTATTCAATATTATATTTTTGGTACAATATAGAATTCTCAGCGTAAAGTATTTCAACAAGTTTCCGTTTCTTTCTTCTTGGTCGGTCCTGGCGATAAATATTGAGGGATCGCCAGTTAGATGTTATCAGTTCAGTAAATGAATATCTGAATAATGTGCATTCTTTTCGTTGTATATTGCCAGCAACCACATTGTCTCTTATTGAGTTTTTTGTAACTTTGAAAACGAAAGGTTGTACACTTTTCAGAAACGCAGCAGAATAGGTTATGCGATTAATAAACATAATGATATATCAAAACAAACAAAAATAGATAACTTGTTGAAATATCTAGATGGCAGGAACAGGTAGCCCAGATGCTCAAGCAGGCCGCCCTTTCACTTGATGATATTATATCTACATTTACAATAAGTCGCTAGTGGTTGCAATATTTTGTTGAGATTGTTAGGATCTACAGTTTCAGAAATGACGTTTGCAAAGAATACATACCGTTCGTAGATACATGTATACTGGCGCTACAATGACGACTCATTTGCCTGCTCATTTTTGTAACCACCAGCATGCCATTTTGGTTGGATCTCTAAAATCACGGAATACTACTTTTGCCATAGGTAATATATTTGCTCACCTTAACATAGCAAGAAAATATACCACAATGGGTCCCCATTGAAGTATCGCAGTAGCGAATATTGATTAATCACCATGATCTAAAAATTTGTTCTTTTCATAACTATTCTAGTGTTTAAAACAACACAACCCTACTGGTACTCATAGTATCTTTAGACTCTAGATTGCAGCTATCCATTTCAAACTATTCTGAAGGTAAATAGAACAACTAGAAATTTATCATCTATTGAAAGTATCTTGTGTAGATTAAACTATGTTATATATATTGTTTTCTCTTCTAGATTGTTACTTAGCACATCATTAGTTGGTTCGATTATTGGTCGAGGTGGTCGAACTATTCGTCAGATTACAACAAAAACGGGGGTTAAAATAGGGATGAAACAGGATATTATCACGTTTTCACAGTTCTCTTTGCCTGGGAAAGGAAAAAAGACATTCAAGTCATCTGATTCTGTCAGTACCAATCACGTTGCAAGTACTAATCACTTTAAAGAGGAAGAAGAAGGGGAAAAAGAAGAAACAAGTCAACTGTCTGACAATAAAGATGCTTTTACAAATGTTAATGGCAATACAAAGGTTGATCAAGCACCAGAAACATGTTCAAATATCAATACTGAATCTATATTAGCTAATAAATCTCAATCCAACTTAGAGGTTCAATCAGACGAAAGTCAACTTGCTATTCTTTTCGGATCAAGGGAACAATGTTCAGCGGCATTATGTGAAATTCTTACAATATGTTTCCGTGAATCTAAACATCGTGGCTTCTCTGATCCTTGCTTAGGTCTACTTGTTGAACAGCATATTTATGCACAACTGATAATGAATAAAGGGAAAAAATATTTCAATGCTATTCATACTGCTACAGGCGCACGCATATCAGTAACGGGGTAAGTTGGACTCAATATGCACTTTTAGACCACATACATTTAACCATTTAGTAGATGAGATAATGAATACAACTCGGTAGCTACTTCCATAAACAAACGAGACAGTTAGTCTGTTTGAACCAGTACTTCAGTGGTGTGTGTAGAATATTAGCTTAACGAGTAGATAATCGCTTACCTACTTTGAGTGCTGAATAGAATGTTAGAACATGTACTCATCCAGTCCTGACTTCGATTAATGACCAAAATGCATTTGTGTTTGATCATCTCAACACTAACTACACTAATCCCATAATAATTAGTAATAATTAAACTCATCTATAGCTTAGTAATTTGAAAACTGAATTCTCAATCATTTTACCAAAAGTAGAAACTCTCCTCTTCTTTGTTTTTGTTTAAGAAATAAAACACTCACTATATTACACTAAACCTATGATCTTAAAGTTTAGTGTAAATTCATACTTAATTGCTGAGAAATGTTATTATCGTAACACATCATTTGATTGACACAAAAACGAAATTAATGTAACTTAATCCATGTCCAACTAACGTCTCAACATTTCCAACCCTTTAAAGAAAAAAAAAGTCCGATAGTCTAAATAAGCAGTTATCCTGACCTAACAGTTACTTATCTTCCTCTTAGTAAACAAGCACACCTACCTGTGTCATAAATATACCCTTACATTTTAAATTATTTATTTATTTAAGCACATAAAGATTGGTACAATGAGGCATCAAATACATATGCGCCACACAAATCTTATTTGATATGTGTGAGGGCTGTGGTACTGCCTGGGTGCCCAAACTGAAACAGGTGGTTCTTTAGGGGGCCACACCTGGAGCTTTCGACCTGAAGGTCTGATCCACAAGGCAGTGAAGTAACGTCAGGAGATGCAGTTCCATAGCAGCAGGTGACCAACGGTTGGTTCATACGACATTTGTTCCTTCAGGATGCTGGAGCCCATGTGCAACATTGGTTTGGATTCAGAGTTTTCCAACTCCCCTAGATGGACCCTCAGTGTCCACCAACCCGGTTAAAGGACATGCCATTCGCTTTTTGTCCTCTCAGTTTCGTGAACGACAATAATGCCGCGAGAGGGCAGTGAGTAGGACTTCCCTGTCAGTGGTTGTATGCACATGGCCATGTGAGAACATTTGGAGAGGGAGAGCTGACTCTCCTCACTTTCGGCTGTACCAGGGCACTTGGGGGCACATTTTAAATTGGTTTGTAGATATTGATTAATATTGAAAATTGTTCAAGGGGGACACTAATTAGACTTACGACTTGGACTTGGACTTTTGGTTTAGCTACCAAAGAAGCTTTATTTTTAATCCAGTCTCATTCACTCTTGTAAATTTTAATTAAGTAGTTCAGCTCATCAATTAGATCATTTCCTTGCCTGAATTTTTTTGTAAGAGGTTTTAATAACTATTTCAGATTTGTAATTGATTCTATCACAATGAATTGAATTATGTTGAGTTAGATGCACTTATCTTGACTTGTCGTAATGGATGGTTAGAAAAAAGTGAAAAAGCTCAAATGAATTTTATTTCCAGATATTCTTATCCTTCGCATGGGTTGAATAGCTGGATCTTTCAATAACTAGTCTGTTGTATGAAAAGTTGATCTTATCATCGGGAAATCGTCTGTCTCCTTGGTTATCTGTTTAGTTTAAAACTTCGTACACTTCATATATATATACTACCCACAAATTAACCTTCAAAATCTCCCCCAACTATAAAGTATGATAGTTCACTAGTGGCTTACTCCAGAGTGTTATTAAACTTCTAGAGATAATTCGTGACTGGTGTTCAGAAATGTCAAGAGCATAACATAGGTCGCCAGTGTCACTGGGAATGATTGTCACTCTTTATTGTGAGCTGACTGAGGTTAAAATTGTGCCACTAAACGCTTTTCTAGTGACTTTAGTAGTTAAGTGTCTCCTCGGTGAGACCTAAAGATCCTGGGTTTCGTCCATGGTAGGGTCATGGGTGTGCATTACTGAGGAGTCCCACACTAGGATAAGATAATTGTTCAGTGCCTCCCTCTGTTTTCCATTAGTACACTAAAGGAGATCAGTCTATGACAAATACTACTTACATGTATGTAAAATTATGTTTTGGTGGGCCTCGATAATTTTTTAAAAAGTACCCTATTACATATCCTTAATAAACATTAAATTGTTTATTTTCTCTCTGTGTATCAAGAACACCACTCCAAATTCGTCCTTCTAATGACCTTGAACAATCCAATTTAGCTCCTACCGACAGAGTATTAGTTGTTCGTGGTCAATTACATTCTATTTGTGCAGCTGAAGCATTTCTCAGTGAACAAATTCGATGGGCAACAATTGAATCGTCTATTCCATCTAATTTTTGGCCTTTACTCAATCATCTTCCTTCTCTTCCAGTGAATAGTAATCATAGATCATCGAAATCTTCCAATTTATCGTTTAGTTATGATCCACAATCAGTATGTTCATTAATTATGTCATTGGGATCTATATTTTGGCCTCAGTCTGTATGTGCTAAACTTGGAAAAAATACTAATTTTCAATATTATAACAAACGATCTTTAGTGCGAAGTATAAATACTCCAAAAACTGATATTACATTATCTAAAAACATTGAAAATAGTAATCTCAACTCAACAAATATAGTAAATGTTGACGATGAAAACGACACAAATAAACAAGAACAAGACAAAAATATAAATGATAATAATGACAACTTAGAAACTATTAATGACGATGATGAGAAAAGTAAGATCAACTCCAAAACAAAAGAGAATATTGACAATACATTGAATCACTCATCAATTAACATTGAATTGTCGGTTGATGATGATAATGATGATGACAGTGATGAAGAAGGAGAGGATCAGGATCAGGAAGCAATACACAATAAAACTATTGATAGTGTTGTATCATCTGATTTTGAACAAGACAAAAATGAATCCGCTGTTGTTTTAGAAATGTCTAGCGAGAATAAAGGTAATCAAGGGAGCATGTGTTTTTTAAAATCATATTTTTCATAATATGTTAAATGGTTTTTATTTTATGGCAAATCAATGTTTTATCCCACTGAATTCTTCCCTAATAATATTTTGTTTGTACTCATTTCCTTGTAAGTAAACATATCCTATACATAATATTTGTTCAGGGATAGACAAAGATGTGATTTGAAAAACGTCAAGTATACTAATCGATTGTATGATTTCTCTATTTCTAAACCTCTCCCTCTCTGCTCACTTAATTTCCTCCATAATATTATCAATTCGTTTTGTGTCATACATTTCTGGCCACTTTATCGTACCAGCCACTTTTTTCCACGTAGTTCCAGACTTGTTATGTAGTACTCCAAGACACGATGTAGAGTTGTAAATATATCTCTTCGTTTATCATTAACATATGACGGTAATCATACTCAATATCTTATATTTAATCGTACACTAGTAAATGGACATAAAAAGATATTAGTGTCATGTACTACTAATAGTAGTACTTCATTCACATAGTTCGGCTAGTTACAAACACAATATAAGACAAGCCTGTAGCAAATATGTATATCTTTTCTAGTTCAACACTTAACATTGAGTTAAAATAAGAAACTAACAAGACTAAAAAACAAGTGAATTAAAAGAATATTAATAATTAAAGGCTAAACGTAGAAAACACATTTCAGACGTTTGTAATATTAATAAGCCCCAATATTTGAAGGGATAAAAGGAATAGACTCTTCTACTCCACTTGGACCAGTTTTTAGCCATATCCTTACGTCTCAGATTAAGATTATCTTGAAGATCTCAATCAGTAAGTGTTGTCCTTTTTTTAAGGTTTAGCCAAACAGTTGATAACCTCGTAGATTGATGCCATGTTCTGTTTGACTATCTCTAGTCATCTTCCAACTTAATCCTATGCTGACCAGCATACCATGTTAGTCTAGGTAGTGACAAAGTATATGTAACATATATCCCAACAACTTCAGTCAGTCGGTCACCTACTAAATTTAGCAATACCATTAGCCGATTTAACACACCTACTTAAGTCACTACGACCGGATTGGTGGACATGGAGAGTCCCACCTAGGGGAGTTGGAAAACTCTGATCCCAAACCAATAGTGCACATGGGCCCCAGTATCCTGGAGGAACAAATGTCGTACGAACCAATCGTTGGCCACCGACTACCATGGAACTGCATCTTCTTACGATGCTCCACTGTCTTGTGGATTAGACCTTCAGGTCGGAAGCTCCGGGTGTGGCGTCCTAATAAAACCACCTGTTTCAGTTTGGGCATCCAGGTAGTATCACAGCCCTCATACATATCAAATGAGATTTGTGTGGCGCATATGTATTTGCTGCCTCGTTGTACCAATATCTGTGTCCAAAGAATAATAATGTCACTACGACTAACCTCAGTGGTCCATCCATGCCCTAGCGAGATTTAAAATCTATCGATGTTCAAGATGCTACCAGTGTACAAATGTCATCTACCTTTAAATACTGTATCACAGTCATGAAGTAATACATAGTCATCTGATGCGAATTGTACTTTTGATTTAGCAGGCTGTCGAATTTTTTTTGTAAGTTGGCGAATATCAAGCCATCTATTGTCACCCGTAGCCAGATTTAGTCAGTTACTTACCCACCAAGGTTGATGAAACTCCGATAATTGAATTTCTCAATACATCACAAACATATATTCTCCATGTTACTAAACACATACAGTGCACTGCGTACTTTTATTTTTATTTTACTCATCCAATACGTCACTATTATTAATTTTTAAAGAACGAAACTTCCTCAACTTCAACTGCAGTTGGTTGGGAGTTACAATATTCTCACTTTTGTTTATCTCCGGTACCTTTCTTAGTCTTTGTTTCTTATACTTGTTCAATGTATTCACACTTTTTCTCCACATTAATTTCTTCGTTCAGAAACAGAATTGCAATCGCCATCTAATAATTGTATTGATTCGGATACGCAAAAATTGGATAAACTAGATCAATTAAAATCTGACCAATGTGCATTTGAACGCTTAGCTCGTTCAACAAACCCTAAAGAAACTAACCTTACTATGGTGACCGCTGTTCAACAGTCATTAATTGCAGCTGTAGGTCCAATAGCTTGGTTAGCTACCGGGGGTATGCTTTATATGCGTGTTTCGTACAACGAAGCTGGTGCATTGATTGGATCGGAAGGATCTCGAATCCAACAACTTATGCAAGTTACAGGAGCTGAAATACATGTCGGCAAGGTAAGACAATATTCTTCTATTTCTATACTCCACGGCATATCCAAAAGAATGTTTGTTAAAGCTGTACTGTATTACTGTATGTGAAAAAAACACTTCAAAAACTTGACACAGTTGTTGAAAAACTGATTTTTAGGTGATATGAATGGATAATTTATGACAAAACAACAATTAGAATGTATATGAACTTTTGTTTATAACCTTATAAAGATTAGGATGGAAAATTTTTTGTTATAGCCAAATAGATGAGCAATTATGCAGTCATTTCTTTGATTCCAATCTCATTTATTAGATACAGATTCGTGTACCTGATTATGAGCGACACTAATTGTAAGGACTAGCGATATTAACCGGTTGGGCAAATTGAATTAGATAGAGTAGTAGAGTTATCACGTATGATTTAACGGCTGGAAGTTAAATTCCTTAACCACTAAGCCGCTACTCCATTTAGTCATTATTTTATGGTGAATAAATTCAACTGGCGTTCTTGGGAAGCAGTTGAGAAAAATCACCATGCTTTCTCAAGTTTGATTGGACAATAAATTTTCTAATTGATTACTAATTTTAGTACCTTTTCCTGAAACCTCCAAAATGTCAATGTCGTCTATTATTAAATAAATACCTTATTTTCTGTGCTATAATCTAGCTTTTAAAGTGCAACTTCCATATCTCTCACTCATTCTGTATATTTCTCTTCTTTACTGGTCACAAATAGCCACGTACAGCCGAGGGTGGGAAGAGTTTGCTACCCCCTTCTAATGTGATCATGCGTATATAACCACTGTCAAAGAAGTCCTGCTCAGTGCTTTCTTGCGGCTGGCAGGGAGTTGAAAAATCCTAGTTCCAAACCGTTAGTCTACATAAATAGTGTTTAAACCTATTGTTGGACACCAACTAACATAGGATTACATCTCCTAACGTTGTTCCACTACCTTGTGGATTAGGCCTCTATGTCAAAGGCTTGAAGAGTGGGTCCCTAAGAAAACCATCTGTTTCGGTTTAGGAAACTAAACAGTATCCTAGCCCATATACAAATTGAATGATTTTGTAGGTATCATTACCAAGGTTTGACTTGATGATTTCAAATAAGTTGAACTTTGGTAGATTGTTAAAAACCATAGAAATAAAATACCTACTTTATTTGGCATTAACTTGTCGATTGTCACAAAATTTTAAATTGACCAACGCGCACTACTAATTGATTCCTCCTGTCGTGAATCTTTATTGTATCATCTATATTCCTGTTAGTTCAATTTCTCTCGAAGTAACTTCACCTTTTGTGAATAAAATATTTCTTATTCTAACCAATAGTTGTAACCATTATAAAGTAATCTTTTGCATTATAAAACATTACAGTGTTACCAACAAATTTTTTTTATTTTTTTTATTTTCAAGGTTCCAATAAGTCCACCTTATGCATTAAATCCAATTACTAAACGTACTTATTCAAATAATAATGTTATACTATCTAATGAAAAATCACCAACATGTATATCTCTTGTTGACTCTTTCTTTAATGATACTGTCACTGGTATAAACTGTGATTCTTCATCTATTGTTAACAGTAAAATTGATCAATCATTATCTAAATCCAATAATGATAATGATGACAATACTGATGTTAATCAATCTATAAACATTATAAATGATAAATTATTATCTTCAATGGATATCAATGATGAAAATAATAATGATGATGGTGATGATGATGATGATGATTCTACCAAACAACAATCCAATAAACTTATTAACAGTGATGTTAATGAAGAAAACATTTGTACAAATAAATTGTCTATTGTAGACAATAATGATAATGAAATGAATGTCACAATAAAAGAATGTACAGAAGTAATTTCTTCACTGAATGATGATACTCATAATAATGATAATAAAAATATTATCAATGATGTTCCAGTTAATCAAACATCAGATACTATATCTAATTGTTGTAATCATCATCATCATTCTCTAGTGAAAAGTTCTTCAACACATTCAAATTGTATAATTGCTGAAAAAATTTCAAATAATCAAATATTGGAATCTATGGAACAAAAAACTTCCAATACATTGCCATCATCATCATCAACATCAAATCAATCATATCGTTTAGTTAGTTTGTCTGGTTCAGCTCAATCACAAATTATGGCTCAATGGCAAATATTTCAACGTCTTAAAAATTTACATAAACGTCAGGTATGTATGTGTTCGTAAGTCATTGTATGCCATCATTATAGATAAAGTTTATAACAAATACTCGATTATTCATTATTGCGTATGTGTTTCTGGGTATATGTGTCTTCTTTCTTGCTTATATTGAGGTCGTTAGGATGTGTTACGTATGCTTAATCATGCTCCACCGTTATGAACGATGTTTTCTGGAATAGAAGTAGGTTAAAAGGTAGCTGGTTGTCGCCAAAACTAGATGTAACACCAATCCATGAATACATTGACTGTTGGTCCGAGCCATCCTGATAGATCCAGAGTGCCCGGTCGAGGTTGACACAATAACTGTGATCGATGTCTGGAAACTTTCGGTATCATTGTTCACATCGGTGAATATCTATTCGTTCTTTATCTTCCTCTCATTCTTGAATTCCAGTATTCTTTTATACATACCTTTCCATCTTGTCTTTTTAAAGCATACTCTCAATGATTAATCTTTCTTATTGTTATTACTACTACTTTAGTTCGGTCGCTTTTGTTATTCATCTTATGTTCACCTTGCGCAAATTGGATAATGACAACTTGTCCCAACGCGCATCTATTTCAAACTCTATGATGAACATGGTTGATTGACTATAAAAATCGATGCAATAGCTTAGTAAATTAAGCAATTCACTTTCAACCAGTAAGTTATCACATCAAGCGTAGCTCGTGTCCTAACCTATTTACAATTGGTTGATCACTGAGTAATGGCCAACGTTTGTCCTAGCCGTTTTTCGTGCTGATTGAATTTTATCGACCAAGTCAACCGCAGCCGCAATAGCTCAGTGGTAACACAGACTGCAAAGCTGGTTGATACGGGTTCGAATCCTCCAAGGAGTGCACCAGTTCTCCCAAGATTGCAGATAGAGCTTATTGACGAGTGCTGAGTAGCATGAAACTTAGGTCTTAACATATGGCTCCGTATTACTTTCTGTCTATGAAAAGAAATCAATCTTTTCACCTTCCTCTAGATTTTGAATTTCGGTGTTCCTTCACATGTATCTTTTCATTTCATACTTTTAATTTTCGTTCTTCCTCGCTATCATCGATATCATTATTATTTTAACTCTTATATTCATCATTTAACTTCATTTCGTTGCGCTGATTTAGAATGATGACTTGCGTTAGCTCACGTTTATACCATCCTCTACATTGATTATGGCTGAATAATTTATTCGACTGCTAGCAATATATTTTGTAAGTATTAGTTTATAAGCTAAAGTTATGGTGGACCTTAATCTGAAAGTATAAAACCTGGAATCTATTTAAAATATGCTTATTAACCAGTCCGACTCTACACCTTTTTCTAATGGATATTCCACCACTGATTTGTCCCTTATTTTTTACTAGATGACCACTGGGTCTTCTTCATCAAATGATAATTCAAGTCAGAAATTATTTTGTTTAGCCACTTTAATATGTCTACCGTATCGATTTCTCTGGTGGCTTACAACTCATAATCCTGGATTCATAGAAACATCTCAATCATCCTCCATTCTTACATCAACTGTCTTCTCAAAGTCCGATGACTCTGGTAATACTAATAATAACAATAAATCTGGAACATCTCCATTGAATTGGATTCAATCATTAGCTAGTAGACGTTTAAATGCAAATTTATCATCAAATGATTCAGTTAAAAAATTCATTCATGTACTACCTGAGCCTAGACGACGTAAACGTTTAGTTCAACAACAACTTAAACGAATCAATGCTACTCTACGTGGCCAACAACAACAATTAAACTATACTGGTGGTAATTGTTTATCTAAATCACTTATTTTACCACCAAGAGGATTAACTAATGATGGTTTAGATCAGTTGTGGGCTCATCCTAATCGTATACCATTAGAAATATATGCTGACTTTGATACCACACAAGTAAGTCATTTATAGTTTAATATATTCATTATTATTAATGTTACTATTACTATTTATTCGGCAGCAAGGAGTTTTATAGGTTGTTGGGTTTCATCGGAATTATAAACCGACCTAAGTTAGACCATAATTGAAAACGTAAATGCCAATTATATCACTAAAGATAAATGGAAAGAGATTTAACTATGCAACAACAGCTTTATCAGTGATTTTGATATGGAGAGCCAATCAGAAGTAGCTCAATGAAAAGGTCAGTCGACGGCAATTAGAAGTGACCTAAAGGACAAGTGCGTTTCATTGACCAAGAAGTTGATCGATTTCCTAAGGATTAAAGTGGTATATATATATATATATATATATATATATATATATATATATATATATATATATATATATATATATAAATGAGTGTTTGTGTATTTTATTCGGTAGCCCAATACACTTTCTCGCTCAAGTAGTCAGTTGGGGGGTAGCGCGCAATAGACTGTGTATCAGTACCAGATTTGGACACCACCCGTCACAACAGATTTTCATTAGTCTAGCCCCCGAATATCCTTTTACGGTCGAGGGTGGGTTGAGTTAGCTCTCCCTTTCCAAATGCTCTCACATGTCCATGCGTATACAGCCACTGCCAGGAAAATCCTACTCACTACCTCGCAGCGGGGGTGTTTACGAAATTAAGAGGACGAAAAGCGAATATCCGGCTCTTTAACCGGATTAGTGGATATGGAGAATCTGCCTAGGGGAGTTGGAAAACCCTGATTCCAAACCAATGGTGCACATGGGTTCCAGTATCCTGAAGAGACAAATAGCATATGGACCTGTTTTGATCGCTAGTTACCATGTGACTGCATTACCTGACGTTGCTTCACTGCCTTATGGATTAGACCTTTAGGTCGATGGCCCTCTAAAAAACACCTGCTTCGGTCTGGGCACCCGGGTAGTATCACAGCCCACGCACAAATCAAGTGACTTGTGTAGCGCATATGTATTCGATGCCCCTTTGTACCAATACTTATGTATTCAAATAAATTCATTAGTCTAAAGTCTAAAGCCTATTAAAACATGATTACTGTAATAACTACCAATCTTGATACTAAAGGTCTTTTTAACAAAACTTTGAGAATACTGGATTCAAGAACTTCAATTTATTTAAAGCAACTGTTAGTGACGGGAAATAGTTACTGTTTGGATTGTTATTTTGAGAGATTCATTCAAGTGGCCAAATGTTTTTTTATGTTTATAAATCAAGATATATCGTTATTATTATTTCTGAATATTTTGTCTTTTGATAAATCGATCAAAATTACATTTGATGTCACTGCTTACAGTTTTACTTCATTCTGAATCATCATACATTAAAGCTGTTAAGCAGACCTCGTTTTGTTAGTATATCACTGCTTTAAACAAATTAAAAATTACAGATCTGATTTGTTTCTGACCTATAGGTTAGGTGAGCTGTCCATCATTAGGCATCGATACTGCGCTTCAATCCACTGTGTATTGATATGTAACTATGAAACAGCATATTAAATTCGAAAGCATCCGGGGACTAGATATATCTGATTATAAATACTTTCAAAGTATTGTTCACATATTATTTTATTCATTTATTTGAACACATAAATATTGGTACAAGAGAGCGCCAATATATATGCGCCACACAAAACAATGAGAATGCAAAGAGAAATAGAAAAAAAACTAAGGAGCGCAAAAGAAAAAGAGAACAATAACGAAGAGATTGGTGTAAGGTAGTGTGGTAGTAACGAGGTACAATCAGAAGAAATCTTTCAGTTAGGGAAGACACAACCACTTTTTATGAAGAAAGTAAAAGAAGGTTACAGCAGGATCGCCACTGGCTTCTATTCTGAGCCATATTTGATAACGTCTCTAGCCACTGTGTAGCACCATCTCTCAGAGCCCAACCAGGGAGTCGTGAAGGACCAACACAAGCCAGTCCTTTGCAGCTTTCTTTCATGCCACGACACCATGTCATGCACTGACCACCTCTCCGCTTCTTCCAACCAGTCCCAGAGTCGGCAAATAATGCACGACGTGGAATTCTCTGGGACGACATTCGGAGAACATGTCCAAGCCACCGAAGTCGGTGTTTCAAGATGGTGACATCGATTGCATTATCGTCTCTGTGCCCGAACACACGATGCCGAACCTCTGCATCACTAACATGGCCCCCTGAATGCCCTGGTACGGCCGAGAGTGGGGAGAGTCCGCTCTCCCTCTCGAAATACTCTCACACGGCCACGCGTATACAGCCTCTGCCAGGGAAGTCCTACTCATTGCCTTCTCGTGGCGGGGGTGTTGTTTACGAAAATGAGAGGACGAAAAGCGAATGTCCGGCGCTTTAACCGGATTCCAAATCAATGGTGCACATGGGCTCCAGTATCCTGCGGGAACGAATGGCGTATGAACCAATTGTTGGTCACCGGCTACCATGGGACTGCATCTCCTTACGATGCTCCACTGCCTTGTGGGTTAGACCTTTAGGTCGAAGGCTCGGGGAGTGGCCCCCGAAGATAACCACCTGCTTCGGTTTGGGCACCCGGGCAGTATCACAGCCCACACACAAATGATGAACTCTTTATGTCTATGGAAATTACTTTTGTCGCTTTGAAAAACAATCAATTGATTCAAATTATGATCACTACAATTATTGTCATTATTAATACTAATATTATTATTACTACTATTATTGTCATTATTGTTATTATCATCATTATTATTATTATTTTCCACATTATTCACCTTCTTTTATACTTATACAGCGGCTCGTCTTTGGTGGAATTCCGACTGTATCTAAACGTTCTCGAGTCACTGTCCGGTTGAAAATTGTATGTTACCACTGAATACGAGGACTGAAGCAGATTTTCTGAAACCACGTGCATCATTCAAACTGGCTGCCTTCAACGTTCGCACATTTATGCAGGTCGGACAACAGATAGGGCTGGCTATGTCTTTGGAAAGTCTTAATATCGACGTGTGTTGTCTATCCGAGACCCGTATTCAAGACTCTGGCGAAGTACTACAAATTCGATCTCCATCTGTCGCTTCGAAAAGCTTGTTTTACGTGCGCTTATCCGGGGACCCTGTGGCATCTTCGTCTGGTCTTGCTGGCGTTGGTGTCGCACTAAGCGCTAGAGCTGAGGCAGCACTAGTCGATTGGATCCCCATTAACAGTCGGTTATGTGCTGTTAGATTAGAAAGTTCCATCAAAGTGAGAAGAAATCGGCGTGAGAAAAGATGTCTTTTCGTCATCTCCGCCTATGCCCCGACAGATTGCAGCCCGGATGCAATCAAGGATGAGTTTTACCACCAGTTATCAGTTCTTCTCCAGAAAGTGCGTTCGACAGATATTGTAGTACTAGCCGGAGACTTGAATGCTCAGGTCGGGCGTCTAGGCACAGAAGAGAGTCGTTTAGGTGGCCGATGGGGACTCGTTGGTCGCAGGTCAGATAACGGGGACCGTCTACTGCAACTGTGCACAGACCACAACCTGTTTCTGGCTAGCACTAACTTTCGGCACAGTCATCGCCGATGTGCCACCTGGCGTCCTCCCTCTGCATCTCAAGCCTGGACTCAGATTGATCACATCGCGATCAGCTACCGCTGGCGTGGTTGTGTACAAGACTGCCGCTCCTTTTGGAGTACCTATCTGGACTCTGACCATGCCTTGGTCCGCGCCAATCTTGCCTTACTTTTCAGTGGACAACGAAGTGACCACCATCAACGGATTGATGTTAGCAAGCTGGTTGCAACTTCTGTTGCAAGTAAGTATCGAACCGAGCTAGCCTCTAGGCTAGCTACCACTCCACCGAAAAGTATAGATGAGCATTGGTTGCAATTGCATGACGCCATGAAAATGGCGGGAACAGTCAGTTGTGGGTTTGCGAAACGTCCCGCTTTTAAGCACTGGGTTTCTTCTGGTTCCTTGCAACTCGTTGAAGCCCGTCGGTCTACTCCGGGTGACCGTGAGTTTGACCATAAACGAAGGATGTTACGTAAGGAAATTGGGCAGAGCTTGCGTAAGGACCGAGAAGCCTGGTGGTCGGAGCGTGCTAAAGAGTTGGAAGTAGCAGCTGCATCTGGTAACAAACTGAAGCTCTTCCAACTCATCCGAGCCACTGGCAGCAAGAAGTCTGGTGTGAGCGAAACCGTCTGTGAGAATGATGGGATGCCAACCACTAACATCCATCGACGTCTTGGACGATGGGCAGAATTTTTCGAAGGGCAGTTCAACTGGCCTGCTGCTCCGGCAACATCGGTCAGACTGTCCTGCCCTCCATGGCCGGTGACGACTGATCCACCAAATGAGGAGGAAGTCCGCAAGGAACTCCAACTCTTGAAGCGTTACAAATCACCTGGCCCAGATGACTTACCTCCGGCTCTTTTTAAAGATGGTGGTGACTTTTTGACTAAGGAATTGACGACGTTGTTTACAAAGGTTTGGGAACTAGAGAGTGTACCAACGTCATGGAATGAGTCGATAGTTGTCCCTATCTTTAAAAAGGGTTCACGTCCTTCCTGTAACAACGATCGGGGGATAAGTCTACTTTCGGTTGTGTCCAAGCTATTGGCTTCCGTCATTCTTCGTAGGCTGTTCAAAACCCGAGAAAGATTGACTCGCGAGGAGCAGGCTGGGTTTCGTTTTGGTTGAGAATGTATTGATCATATCTTCACCCTCCCCCAAATGTTAGAACACCGCCATACTTATCAAAGGCCAACAATCGTAGTGTTTCTTGACATCAGGGCTGCCTTCGATTCGTTGGACAGGACTGTTCTCTGGGATTGTCTATTGAAGAAGGGTGTGGCTGAGAAGTTTATTAACATCCTAAAAGCCCTGTATAAAAACACCTCAGGCAGAGTGAGGGCATACAACCACCTCTCTCCGTTGTTCCATTCGAGCAGTGGGGTTAGGCAGGGTTGCCCAATCTCACCATTCCTCTTCAACTTTGCCGTCGATGACATTCTGGAAACAGCTCTGATGGATGTAAGTAATGGCAGTGTGGATCTGTTGCCTGGAGAAAGACTCCTCGACCTTGAGTATGCGGACGATATTGTCTTACTGTGCGATAATGCCCAAGGCATGCAATCCGCACTTAATCAGTTGGCAATCAATGTCCGTAGGTATGGTATGTGCTTTGCACCCTCGAAGTGCAAAGTACATCTACAAGACTGGCAGGATTCTAATCCTGTACTCACCCTGGACGGTGAGCAGATAGACGTAGTTGAGAAGTTCGTGTATCTGGGTAGCTGCATAAGTGTTGGTGGGGGTGTGAGTGATGAGGTCAATGCACGAATAGTGAAAGCCAGAGCGGCTTATGCCAATCTGGGCCACCTTTGACGCCTTCGTGATGTTAGTCTGGCCGTAAAAGGTCGGATCTACAACGCGTCGGTGAGAGCAGTTTTGCTCTATGCTTGTGAAACCTGGCCTCTCCGAGTTGAGGACGTTAGACGACTCTCTGTGTTCGATCATCGCTGTCTCCGAAGGATTGCTGACATTCAGTGGCAACACCATGTTAGTGATGCAGAGGTTCGGCATCGTGTGTTCGGGCACAGAGACGATAATGCAATCGATGTCACCATCTTGAAACACCGACTTCGGTGGCTTGGACATGTTCTCCGAATGTCGTCCCAGAGAATTCCACGTCGTGCATTATTTGCCGACTCTGGGACTGGTTGGAAGAAGCGGAGAGGTGGTCAGTGCATGACATGGTGTCGTGGCATGAAAGAAAGCTGCAAAGGACTGGCTTGTGTTGGTCCTTCACGACTCCCTGGTTGGGCTCTGAGAGATGGTGCTACACAGTGGCTAGAGACGTTATCAAATATGGCTCAGAATAGAAGCCAGTGGCGATCCTGCTGTAACCTTCTTTTACTTTCTTCATAAAAAGTGGTTGTGTCTTCCCTAACTGAAAGATTTCTTCTGATTGTACCTCGTTACTACCACACTACCTTACACCAATCTCTTCGTTATTGTTCTCTTTTTCTTTTGCGCTCCTTAGTTTTTTTTCTATTTCTCTTTGCATTCTCATTGTTTTGTGTGGCGCATATATATTGGCGCTCTCTTGTACCAATATTTATGTGTTCAAACAAATAAATAAATAATAACATGGTGTTGCCACTGGATGTCAGCAATCCTTCGGAGACAGCGATGATCGAACACAGAGAGTCGTCTAACGTCCTCAACTCGGACGGGCCAGGTTTCACAAGCATAGAGCAAAACTGCTCTCACCGACGCGTTGTAGATCCGACCTTTTACGGCCTGACTAACATCACGAAGGCGTCAAAGGTGGCCCAGATTGGCATAAGCCGCTCTGGCTTTCACTATTCGTGCATTGACCTCATCACTCACACCCCCACCAACACTTATGCAGCTACCCAGATACACGAACTTCTCAACTACGTCTATCTGCTCACCGTCCAGGGTGAGTACAGGATTAGAATCCTGCCAGTCTTGTAGATGTACTTTGCACTTCGAGGGTGCAAAGCACATACCATACCTACGGACACTGATTGCCAACTGATTAAGTGCGGATTGCATGCCTTGGGCATTATCGCACAGTAAGACAATATCGTCCGCATACTCAAGGTCGAGAAGTCTTTCTCCAGGCAACAGATCCACACCACCATTACTTACATTCATCAGAGCTGTTTCCAGAATGTCATCGATGGCAAAGTTGAAGAGGAATGGTGAGATTGGGCAACCCTGCCTAACCCCACTGCTCGAATGGAACAATGGAGAGAGGTGGTTGTATGCCCTCACTCTGCCTGAGGTGTTTTTATACAGGGCTTTTAGGATGTTAATAAACTTCTCAGCCACACCCTTCTTCAATAGACAATCCCAGAGAACAGTCCTGTCCAACGAATCGAAGGCAGCCCTGATGTCAAGAAACACTACGATTGTTGGCCTTTGATAAGTATGGCGGTGTTCTAACATTTGGGGGAGGGTGAAGATATGATCAATACATTCTCAACCAAAACGAAACCCAGCCTGCTCCTCGCGAGTCAATCTTTCTCGGGTTTTGAACAGCCTACGAAGAATGACGGAAGCCAATAGCTTGGACACAACCGAAAGTAGACTTATCCCCCGATCGTTGTTACAGGAAGGACGTGAACCCTTTTTAAAGATAGGGACAACTATCGACTCATTCCATGACGTTGGTACACTCTCTAGTTCCCAAACCTTTGTAAACAACGTCGTCAATTCCTTAGTCAAAAAGTCACCACCATCTTTAAAAAGAGCCGGAGGTAAGTCATCTGGGCCAGGTGATTTGTAACGCTTCAAGAGTTGGAGTTCCTTGCGGACTTCCTCCTCATTTGGTGGATCAGTCGTCACCGGCCATGGAGGGCAGGACAGTCTGACCGATGTTGCCGGAGCAGCAGGCCAGTTGAACTGCCCTTCGAAAAATTCTGCCCATCGTCCAAGACGTCGATGGATGTTAGTGGTTGGCATCCCATCATTCTCACAGACGGTTTCGCTCACACCAGACTTCTTGCTGCCAGTGGCTCGGATGAGTTGGAAGAGCTTCAGTTTGTTACCAGATGCAGCTGCTACTTCCAACTCTTTAGCACGCTCCGACCACCAGGCTTCTCGGTCCTTACGCAAGCTCTGCCCAATTTCCTTACGTAACATCCTTCGTTTATGGTCAAACTCACGGTCACCCGGAGTAGACCGACGGGCTTCAACGAGTTGCAAGGAACCAGAAGAAACCCAGTGCTTAAAAGCGGGACGTTTCGCAAACCCACAACTGACTGTTCCCGCCATTTTCATGGCGTCATGCAATTGCAACCAATGCTCATCTATACTTTTCGGTGGAGTGGTAGCTAGCCTAGAGGCTAGCTCGGTTCGATACTTACTTGCAACAGAAGTTGCAACCAGCTTGCTAACATCAATCCGTTGATGGTGGTCACTTCGTTGTCCACTGAAAAGTAAGGCAAGATTGGCGCGGACCAAGGCATGGTCAGAGTCCAGATAGGTACTCCAAAAGGAGCGGCAGTCTTGTACACAACCACGCCAGCGGTAGCTGATCGCGATGTGATCAATCTGAGTCCAGGCTTGAGATGCAGAGGGAGGACGCCAGGTGGCACATCGGCGATGACTGTGCCGAAAGTTAGTGCTAGCCAGAAACAGGTTGTGGTCTGTGCACAGTTGCAGTAGACGGTCCCCGTTATCTGACCTGCGACCAACGAGTCCCCATCGGCCACCTAAACGACTCTCTTCTGTGCCTAGACGCCCGACCTGAGCATTCAAGTCTCCGGCTAGTACTACAATATCTGTCGAACGCACTTTCTGGAGAAGAACTGATAACTGGTGGTAAAACTCATCCTTGATTGCATCCGGGCTGCAATCTGTCGGGGCATAGGCGGAGATGACGAAAAGACATCTTTTCTCACGCCGATTTCTTCTCACTTTGATGGAACTTTCTAATCTAACAGCACATAACCGACTGTTAATGGGGATCCAATCGACTAGTGCTGCCTCAGCTCTAGCGCTTAGTGCGACACCAACGCCAGCAAGACCAGACGAAGATGCCACAGGGTCCCCGGATAAGCGCACGTAAAACAAGCTTTTCGAAGCGACAGATGGAGATCGAATTTGTAGTACTTCGCCAGAGTCTTGAATACGGGTCTCGGATAGACAACACACGTCGATATTAAGACTTTCCAAAGACATAGCCAGCCCTATCTGTTGTCCGACCTGCATAAATGTGCGAACGTTGAAGGCAGCCAGTTTGAATGATGCACGTGGTTTCAGAAAATCTGCTTCAGTCCTCGTATTCAGTGGTAACATACAATTTTCAACCGGACAGTGACTCGAGAACGTTTAGATACAGTCGGAATTCCACCAAAGACGAGCCGCTGTATAAGTATAAAAGAAGGTGAATAATGTGGAAAATAATAATAATAATGATGATAATAACAATAATGACAATAATTTTAGTGATCATAATTTGAATCAATTGATTGTTTTTCAAAGCGACAAAAGTAATTTCCATAGACATAAAGAGTTCATCATTTGTGTGTGGGCTGTGATACTGCCCGGGTGCCCAAACCGAAGCAGGTGGTTATCTTCGGGGGCCACTCCCCGAGCCTTCGACCTAAAGGTCTAACCCACAAGGCAGTGGAGCATCGTAAGGAGATGCAGTCCCATGGTAGCCGGTGACCAACAATTGGTTCATACGCCATTCGTTCCCGCAGGATACTGGAGCCCATGTGCACCATTGATTTGGAATCCGGTTAAAGCGCCGGACATTCGCTTTTCGTCCTCTCATTTTCGTAAACAACACCCCCGCCACGAGAAGGCAATGAGTAGGACTTCCCTGGCAGAGGCTGTATACGCGTGGCCGTGTGAGAGTATTTCGAGAGGGAGAGCGGACTCTCCCCACTCTCGGCCGTACCAGGGCATTCAGGGGGCTCCTAACATCGGTTGTGATAACTTGTAGAAAAGCACACTTCTCCTAGGTCCTATGTTGTTAATGACTGATAGATATGTAGTCCATATCTTCGCGTAGTATTTAAATGCTTTCTCATTTTTTATAGCAGCGTAACTGTTTAAAGGATATAGTTAACCGATACTTGTTTATTAAAGAGATTATGATTCCTGTAATTTACTACATCCACTACTCTTACTTAAATTTACAGCTTATTTTAACAAATCTGCATCATATGTTAGCCTTATGGTTATATGGACAATCTCTTGCTGGCACCTCTGTTCAATCGTTTATTCAAGCTCCAATCGTATATGTACTGCCCAATGGACGTCCAGCTAATATGTCAACCTCGGATTCAGCTAACAGTCGATCATATTCTAAGTCTAATCGACATAATACAGATCAACCTGATTATTGGACACTTATGCCCGGTCGTCAAGATGCTTTTTTAAATTCTCTGAGACAACCATTTCATATACCATTGTTGCCTGGAGGTATTCCGAATTTTGGATCCTCCACTACAGGTCCCCCTAACTACTCAACACCAATGCTCCCAGACCGTTCAAATTGCACAAATCTCGCTCAACCTTTTTTCTATCCTCGATATCCCTTGATAAATTGGCATGGAATAGCCAATAGCAAATACTCAGGACAGACGATGATATCAGACCGTAAGCTATTACTTTTAGTTAAATTATGTTATATGTTTGGTTATAATTTTCATTAATGTTAATTCGTTTCTCTGAAAACGTCAGTAATAGTCGATTTATTGACAATTTGGATAGTTCTCAATACATGCTAGCGTAAATCTGTTAACCTTTGCAAACCAAGAGATAGGTTCCCATTCTTTTCGGCAATATATGCTCATAATTCTCTAAACGAGTAAACAAAAACGTTCAGCTGAAAAACAATGTAATGCGTATACTAATATATCATCCCTTCATGGTGTTATAGATCTTTTGGTTGACAAAAAACATTCAATCGTTCATAGGAGTCGTGATTTCTCACTATGATCTAAAGCCGAATTATAATACGTATCAATATTCGACTTAACATAGTGTTCAAATGTGAAAACCTGTAACATCTAGTTTTGTATGCCGGTTTTAGTAGACCAGGAACATGAAATGCAATGTGATATCTTTCTAATTCACCTCCTAAACGAATTTTTATTTGAGTTAGGTGCTGATAATTTCGTCCAGAACGATAATGAAAGCGTTGTAATGAAATCATTCAGCTTAAAAAACGCATCAACCTAGGCTACAAATCTTCCCCATCGTTTCACAACACTAATTACATCTGAATACAGACATACGTACTAACTCCTAGCCATAGTTGTATATCTGGACCTTAAGGTAATCACTCACTCCATAGATCGACAGGTTTTATGACAGTGTCTGTCATTAAAAGACATACCAACAAAGTACATCAACCTTGCATATACTGTCTACTCAAACACTACTGATTGAATCAGAGCTTATGGCGAATTGTCATCGGAATCGATACCTTTGAGTAATGTTTGTCAGGGCTGTCTCCATTTTGGTTTAATTTTGTTAGACATTCTTTGAAAGACAACACCAATCATCCGACTAATCAGAGTGTGCTCTTGTTGACTTTGAATACGCATATGACAGTTCTGTTTGGCGAAGACGCTGAAAAAAGTCTTCTGACCACATTAAGCAGCAACGCTAGTATGCTTAGTATGTGTTTCTCTCCCTCTAGATGAAAAAATCTTGCTTCAACAGTGGTCTGTGTCAACATTTGAACTAATGATAGGGAGTGAATCAGTTGAACTTCTCGACTACTTCACTTATTTTGGAAGTCTCTTCAACCTTAGTGGTCTGATGTCTGACTAAATCTCGTAACAGATTCAGAAGGTTCGGGTTTTTTCTGCTAACTAGAGGAAGCACCATTTTATTTATTTGAACACATAGATATTGGTACAAGGAGGCACCAATTACATATGCGCCACGCAAATCTCATTTGATATGAGTGAGGGCTGTGATACTACCTGGGTGCCCAAACCGAAACAGGTGGTTTTATTAAAGGGCTACACCTGGAGCCTTCGACCTGAAGGTCTGATCCACAAGGCAGTGGAGCATCGTAAGAAGATGCAGTTCCATGGTAGTCGGTGGCCAACGATTGGGTTCATACGACGTTTGTTCCTTCAGGATATTGGAGCCCATGTGCACCATTGGTTTGGAATGAGGGTTTTCCAACTCCCCTAGGTGGACTCTCTATGTCCACCAACCCAGTTAAAGCTGGTGCCGGACATTCGCTTTTCGTCCTCTCAATTTCGTAAACATCAATAATGCCATGAGAAGGCAGTGAGTATGACTTCCCTGGGAGAGGCCATATACGCGTGACCCGGATAGCTCAGTGGTAACGTCTTTGACTGTGAAGCTGGGTGGCACGGGATCGAGTCCGTCAGGGAGTAACAGTTCCCTCAATATTGCAGGTACACCTTGCTAAATAAAGGACGAGTATACTGCTCAGAAGTTCGCTGCGTTATGCTTTATAGCTGTGAAACGTGACTAAAAATAAAATAAATTCATAAGTTACTAGCATCCGATCAAAGGTGTCTTCAAAGCATTGCCTGTTTACTTTGGGACCATTGAGTTAGCAATCCTGAGATTAGACGCAAAGTATTAAGTGAGGATGGAAAATCGATTGAAATGATTAGAATATGTACTACCCGTGTCCATCCACCGACTACCACGAAGCTTGATGATGATCGGTGTAAGGTTAGGTTGGAGGGGAAAGCTAAGGCGGTCAAACAAAAACAGTATCGGTTTGTAATAATACGGACTATTGAACCGATCCATGTAGGTAGGTGAAGACTACTTGATTTGTGTCTGCCTTATTGTTGTAACCAATGGTTAGACTTTAAATGACATGGCTCAAAATCATTCAATCTGCCCTTAGATCCTAAGTTTCTAAATTCATGAACTTGCCTTATTATGTTACTAATTTATATTTTCTTTTCTATTACCACTAATACTTTTACTACCACTACTACTCTGTGATTGGTGCTGACAATTTTATTTCACTGTGTCAATGTTGGGTTATGACAGATTGAACCGATGTACACGCGCCACGACGTTCTATGCTACTTATGGCTGACTAATTATATCCTCCATTAAAAATACTATAGTAATTATGTTCCCACGTATAGACAGCGTAAAGGATTTCCGGTCACATTTAAAATCAGATTTTATTTATATTTATAAAGAAGTTTTTCCATGTTATTAGGATTTTAAGGACAACCTGTAAAGGGGATTCAAATAGGAACAATTTACAACATCACCACATTCTCGACTTTTTATTAATACTATATGTAAGCTGTTTGTAAAAATTTACAGAAATAGTCACTGAATACCTAGTGAATTAAAAATATATCTTTACTAATAGATACATTACAGAAGCCTAAAAGAACTCAAATTAAATAGTATATTAAGTAATAATAGAAATTTTGTCGTTGTGTCTATAATTTATTATAAGCCATTGACTGTTTCCTATTTGACTTTGATAAAAATTCCATGAACCTTCCCAAAGTATCATAAATCATAAATTAAAGTTCATCAGTTAGAGATTCCATTCACCTAGTTTTTCAGGGTTTTTTCAACGTGATCCTAAAAATACACACCTCACCTTATCACACGAGTATCTGTCTCCGACGGTAAGGTTTCCACAAGTACGGAGCTAACACGAAAATTGCTCACGAAAAGGTCGTGTGTGACCGTCCTTAAGCAGTTGTCTGTTGGGCACTACGGTCACTAAAACCACCCCTAACCCAATTTCCTTTTCAGATACATTCAGAAGAACCCTTCTACGGTATTGGCAATCGGGAAGTGAAAACCGCCTTCAAAACTATAACAGCACTCAAGATCACTGATCGTTATATGAAATTCCTTATCTGAAAATTAAATATTGTTATATATTGTTCAAATAAATAATGATAATCTAAACTCTGAACTTATCAATATGTCCCTTGTGTTATGTGATCAGGCATGTTAAAATCGAAGACAAAATATCGTCTTACATGATTGTATTTGTTTTTAAATTCACAACTCATATGTTTAAGTGGCATAATCAGTTCTATATTTAGTATGACGGATCACACTAACCTGTTATTCACGATTAGAATAAATGTATAAACACTATTAATTCAGAAGGGGTTTTTATGCTCACTAGTGACTGGCTTCAAGAGATATTTCCTAGAGTCCTAGTGAGAAACAGTGACTTTTAACACATAGGTATTGGTACAAGAAGGCACCAAATACACATGTACGCCACACAAATCTCATTCGATATGTATGAGGGCTGTGATACTGCCCGGGTGCCCAAACTGAAGACAATGGTGGATGTGTCGCGTAATTTCGTGGATTAGTTGAAGTTAGACATTAACACCGTTGGATGCCGGTTGGCTCAGTGGTCTAGAAGTTAAGCGCTCGCACGTGAGACTGATAGGTCCTGGGTTCAAGTCCCGCGAGGCGAGATCTTGGTTGGGCACTGCTGAGAACTCCCGCAATTGGACGAAACAGCCGTCCGGTGGTTCCAGGTTTTCCATAATGGTCTTGCTTCATTTGACTCATCATCTCAACTATTAAAATTACTATTAATTCACATCAATCATACCGTTTATTTCTCTCTTACAAACACGCACACATTCAATGAGGTATTTTTTTAAAAAAATATATAAATGACAATTTATTTTACAACTGAATTATCAATTTCTAGTTTTCAGTATTGACCTGAATATTATTATTTTTTTATTGTATGTATTTGAAGGAGATTTTTCTTTTGTTAGGCTTATTCATTGTATGTCTTAATGAAATATGTAAACATCATCTTAACTTTAGTATAGAACATATAAGAGTTCGTAAAGTATCTGTGAGTTTTTCTTCGTTTCTCTCTCTCTATCTCCCATTCTTGGTACACGCTAAGTTGGTTTATACCCATATAACACCGAATTGTTATGTATATTATTATTATTATTATTATTATTATTATTATTATTATTATTATTATTATTATTATTATTAGCTTTATTCAATATTATATTTTTGGTACAATATAGAATTCTCAGCGTAAAGTATTTCAACAAGTTTCCGTTTCTTTCTTCTTCGTCGGTCCTGGTGATAAATATTGAGGGATCGCCAGTTAGATGTTATCAGTTCAGTAAATGAATATCTGAATAATGTGCATTCTTTTCGCTGTATATTGCCAGCAACCACATTGTCTCTTATTGAGTTTTCTGTAACTTTGAAAACGAAAGGTTGTACACTTTTCAGAAACGCAGCAGAATACATCATGCGATTAATAAACATATTGATATACTAAAACAAACAAAAATAGATAACTTGTTGAAATATCTAGATGGCAGGAACAGGTAGCCTAGATGCTCAAGCAGGCCTCCCTTGTATCTATATCCTCAGTAATAAAAATATTATCTGCTTAAGTGATTAATAGTATGACTGATTGTCTTTTTTTGTTCAATCAAAAACACTGAATAAGTTATGTAACTGTTAACATACATGTAAAACATACACTTCAATAACACAATTTTAATGGTAATTGTTTTCAGTCATTTTTGTATGAGATTGTCAATTCAAAGGATTTAACTCGGTTAGGAACTTTTTTGATGTTCCTGATAAAGGTCAAATATGAACATTAGTAGTAGTGGTAGTTAATGAAGACCTTAACCTTCTATCAATCTTGATCACAAATATCCTAAAAAATCACGTTATTATTTTTAAAGAAAGTACTTCATATGTAATTCCTTTCTATGTTGTAAAATAGAATTACAGGTAGCATGTTTAGACTTGATTTTATGTATTCACTAGACAAAATAGGCCTACTTTGAAGCAGTTTGCACGAGGTCACAGCACATCAGAAGTCCTCTTTTTTCTATTGATTAAGATGGTACATATCATTTCTATCATTTGAATAAACTATCAAGTAGTCAACTCATTTAAAATTTCTCACTTACTCTTAAAAGTAATATTCTCTGTCTTCTTAATATGAGGTTGTGGAGATCGTTAAATTTTTTTGATGTTATGGATCGATCTAAGTCAGATCACTATCAAAAACGTAGAAGCACTGGAGGCCGTTTTGTTCTGGTATGAAATTCCTCAGTAGTGTTTGCGCACGGACGCTTGAACCCTAGACCTCCGAGTTGGTATCCAACGGTGTTTATATATATATATATATATATGTATATATATATCTTGGCACTTTTTTGTTTCGATCAATATCGTGGCAAATGTTTTCTTCATACCCTAAACTTTTAAGTATATCTACGCTTCATTTAGTCTGGCAACCTTTATTTTCCAACTGTGTAGTTATGTATTTCATTATATTTAAGAGTTGTGTTCGACTAATAATCTCTCGACCAATACTTTGAAATTTCTGCGTTTTTGTTTGGTCTGTATCTCATTTAATAAAAATAGCCACCGCGACGAGGCCTGTGCGCATTGGACCTCCAACACTGTATGGTTGTTGGCCGCGTGGACGTTTCAGTGATACAGTTGATGACAAGCACAACATTGAAATAGATCAATCCTCTTCACAATCTACACGATTTCCATCAGCTGGTACTGGTTACACGTTTATCACTAACCTACCTTTCCAACCACCGGCACGTCCACCTACAAGTTTAAATCATGTTCACACAACTACTCATTCACAAGTTGTTCCTGGTTCCTGTTATCGTGGTTCATCTATTTCATCACATCCTAATAAATTTAGATTTCGTAATCCATGCAGTGGTGGAAATCATTCAGTGGAACCATTTATTATAAATAGTATGCCTTTATTGGATACACCAAATCAAATTAATCATCATTCAAATTTTGTTCACAATTCAAAACAAACAAATCATACTACAATAAATGGGGATAAAAATCAAGGAATACGCACAAAGCAGAATTTACAAGAATCAGTATGTTCTTTCACTTTTCTTCCCATTTATTTTTGACATGATTCAGTGTTGTTTCTATTAAATTTTTGTCCATTATCTGAATTAAGCAAATGAGTTCTTTTTAACGGGTATTGTATTGTGAAAATTCTCTCTTTATGAATAACACTCTATAACACAACTGACTTGTTCATAACCGATGCTTCTAACCAGCGAAGTTATAATCATCAATTCATGAATTCTTAAATTAAACTCGCTAGAAAAACACATCATTTAAAAGCATTTTTTTTCTGTATAGAGTCTATTTGAAGCATTCAATTGAAAATTACTATCTAGTACCCTGGGATAGTCGGGTAAGTAATAATGAAGTTAGACGGCAGGGTATTAGGGAATGATGATGATAAATCAGTTGATGAGGTTTTAAATCTTCATCGACTAAGATGGTTGTTTCACGTGTTACGTGTGTCTGAACACCGATTACCACGTCGTGTAATGCTAACGGGTGTTAGAGATGGTTGGAAGAGAATTAGGGGCAGACAAACCAAATCGTGACATCAGTCACTAACCCGTAGTCTGAGCCATGTTGGTAGATGCAGACTACTTGGTTGGGGTCCGTGTGACTATCGTAACGAATGGTTAGAGACTCTTGGTGACATGGCTCAGAATCGATCACAATGGCGTCGGTGTATACAATACTCTCTGTCTTCCCTTAAACTATGAGATTATAATTATTTCATATTTTTCTTTCTACGAACTAATTTTTCCTTCCTTGTACACAATCTTTCTTTTATACTTTACTACCATTGAAATGACTACTTCTATGAATTTCATGTTCATCTTATTGTGGTAATGAGGTATGGCAACTTGAATCGATACATATATTTGTCTGATCCTACATTATAGCTGATTGATAAACTTTTGTTAAGTTCATTTCCATTGACTTATATTCAGGAAAATATCTATTAGATTGAATTCTATACAATTAAACTTCATATAATCCATTCATGATAAATCAATGCGCTCAATGGTTAAAATGTTCAACTTTCAAACATTCAGTCATAGATTTAAGATTAAATTATTTCAACGAATTTTCTACTGTCTAAATGAAAGAAACTATTAGTTATAGATAGATAGTACAATATGAATGATAGTAAACTAACTATGATATCAAAAGAATAAACAGTTAGTTACCTTGGGGATTGTTTTTATTTCATACGGCAAAATATTATGATTAGATAATAGAAATGAAGTGATTGATAAAGGATATCGATTATGTAAGTCACTCATTCATTCTACAATGGGTTATTTTGTTTATTTATTTACTTATTTAAACACATAAACATTGGCACTAATGGGGCACCAAAGCCTTCAACCTAGAGGTCTAATTCAGTAAGCGGTGAAGCGACGTTAAAAGATGTAGTCCCATGGTGGCCGGTGTCCAAGTACAAGTTCATACGCTATTTATTCTCCCGGGATCCTGCAGATCATGTGCACCATTGATTTGGAATCAGAGTCTTCCAACTCCTTCGGTGGATACTCTGTATCCATCAAAATTGTTTAAGCGCCGGACATTCGCTTTTTGTCCTCATCTTGATAAACAACAACACCGCCACGAGAAGGAAGTGAGTAGCGCCCGATTATCAATGGCTATATATGCGTAACCAATATGAGAGCATTTGAAGAGGGAAAGAGGACTTTCCCCACCCTCGGTCGTATCAGAACATTTGAATTAACATATAATTATTACGTTTAATTCTCAATTTATCATATTCATTTGTAATTGAGGTTGAATTAAATATGGTATGTTACACTGTTTTATAATCGAGTCATTAAATCATGTGTGGAGAACGAAATCTAGATTTCCATATTCGTATCTCATTGTTTAAGATTAACAAAGTTGATTCACTCTTTAGGCACCTGGACAGTATCACAGCCCTCACATGAATTAATGATAACGACTAATGGCCTGATTGTTATTGTGCGGCGCATATGTATTTGGTACCCCCCTTGCTACCAATGTTTATGTGTTCAAACAAATAAATATATGACTAAGAGAATTATTACACGATCAGAACAAATTTCTCTCTGATAGTACATACGAATTGATAACAAATATGATTATTACCCTTCTGAATACGTTTACCACAATGAGCTACAGACTATCAGGAGACGACAGTGTTGCATGGCCTGTTACTGACGAATTAAGATTTAAGAAAAATATCACTTTACGCAGTAGTGATCAATACTCTGTATATATCAATATATTCATTGTTCTTTTCTCCCTATCTAAATTTATCTAGCGGCGGAACAAAGAAGACCTAGTTGTTGGTGGTGATAGCTAGATTTGATCAGACAGTATCCCCCCCCCAATATCTTTATCATAATTATTTGTTTTTTTTGTGTTAATTTTCATCTTTGCTCACTCTCACACTCTCATCTTATAATCATGATTGTGAATAAATAAAAATCAAGCAAACCTTCTGTGAATAAACACACACACATACACAATCATAAGTACTTTTTGTTATCATTTTGATTCACTAGTCTTTTTTGTTGTTGTTCTTCTTCTTTCAATAGTGAATCTCCAACATTTTGTAATTCATCTTATTTTTTAATGTTCTGCCACCCCCTCTTTCACCTTGATTTAATATAATCCCTGTCTTCTTCTTCTTTACCATTTGTTTTCTTTTTGTAAATCTTATCGAACCCTGTTGCCACCCTCCTTAACTCTATTCGTGTTTTGTTTTCTTTTAATCCTTAGTTTTATTCTCTTCATTGTCAAATTGTATGTGCGTGAAATGCGCATGTTTTTTTGATTGGATAAAGTGTTCATCTGTAAGTAGTTGGATAATAATCATCTGTACTAATCATGAGAATTTCTTAATATGTAATCTCACTTTACTCTCTTTGTTCTATCTCTCTCTCCCTCTCTCGTTCTCAGTATCATGTATACTGGTTTCCGTACTCATCACTTCATTTCTCCATAGCCTACTCCTTGTTATTTATATTTTTTATGTATGTTTTATGTTATCCTTATTGTTCTGCTCAATTTTCGGCTAGTAGTTCTTTTATGTGTGGTTCACTTCATTTCTCTTTCCTTTCTTTCTCTGTCTGAACTCGAAAAAATCATGATGTGTAGATGATGATTATGATTGTGTTGGTTAATAGACGATCAAGACATTATTTTATGTATTCGAATAGAAGAAAATGGTTATGTGTTTGTATATTTACACATGAAACATGATTTACTCTTTACTACCTTCCCCCTCCACTTTATCCATCGTTCTAAATTGTTCTTCCCTGTGTGTAAACAACTAATTTTCTTTGTTGTAACTCACTTCATCTTTAAACTTCAATTCTTCGCTTTTTGTTAACCATACCCATAGTTCTATTCGTTTCTTATTCCTTTTTTTCAAACTCTTTCTTTCCATAGGAATAAAAAACAAAACAAATTAAGCTCAAATTACATTTAATTGTAGATCAACCAATAATTTCTTCGCTCGCATGTGCAGCTAACAACAAAGACAACACCCCTGTTCTCTCGTAACTAATATAACTTAGTAGGTAATTACATTTTCTTGTTATTAACTCTTCGTTGCTCACTACTACTACTACTACTAATTGGTCAACAATAATAAAATCGTACAATGAATAAATCAGTGTGTTAATAAAGAAATGACTATGATTGTTTCACCCCTTTCATCTCATTCAATTTGTGATTATACTATAGGTGTTTTCATCATTTTTACAATGATTGTGTATTTGTCGGTTTATGTGTTATGTAAGAGACCTCCCGGTGTTGTCTTTCACATATTTATACGAGCGTACTACTACCACCACTTTGAAAGGGGGAGAGAGAGAGAAAATGAACCGTAAACACACTTATGTACATTTATCTGTGCCTTGAGAAAAGAAGAAATAAAGGTTGTCACTAAGTGAAATGAAATAAAACATATAAAAAAAGAAGAAAAACGGCTTAGAAAAAAATAGACATTTCTATGTATTATCAAAATTGTAGTCGGATCATTTTCATTTTGGTTTCGATATCATTATTATCTCATTGTGGTTAATAACATTTTTCTCTTGTGTACTTTTGTGTTTGTGTGTAAGTTGTTTTTGTCTTTGCTCTCTTATATTCCTATATTTGTCCCCCCTCCCCCCATTCTTTTTTTTTCTATTTTACCCTTCAGTTTTTTTAAAGAAATTTACTCTTTTTAATGTGTAGACGACACTTTGTGCACAATATAATTCTCTTTTTTTTCTATTCAAAGAAAATTGAAACAATGATAATAGTTTTGTTCCCAATTTATTGATTTTATTGTTGTGAACAGCGTGATCGTGTGTGTTGTTACGAGTATGAAAGCTGATGTCACTTCCCTGTTGCTCATACTGTGGTAGGGTATTTCTTGAGGAACCTGAAAAGGAAGTCGGATTAATGTCGACCTTAACGACCTGGGAGCGTGACCGCAGAGCCCAGGGGGCAACTGCTCGAGGCCGGTCGCGCACGGCCTTTTCGCGGGAGGTTTTTAATGTGTCAGCTCTCTTCTTCAAAGGGTCTTAACGCCGGAGACGGAGATCCGTGAGGTAAGGTGAGGTGTGACATCTTTAGGGTCGACCTTTTCTAACCCCTTCCTTCCTTGTGAGAAGGCAGCATCGCTGAAGTTGTTGGTTGTCCGAGGGAAACACCTTATTGCTGTCACACCCCTCTACAGTCAGCAGTACGACTTCGCCCTCAGACCTTGAGTTGCTGCTTTTAGTCTTACCGTTCTCCAATCAACCTACCTGGCATGGTAGAACCTAAAGGAACATGTGTTCCAGCTAATATAGCTCGCATGGGTCGGGCAAGCCCGACCACCAAGCTATAGTCGGGAGAAAGGGAAGGACAATTATCAGTAGTATTTAAACGAACTAATGGGATAGTTGTAAACAAAAAAATTTTGATTTCAGGTGTTCAGCTTTTCAGTTTCTATTTTTACATAACTTAGTTAACCCGTTAGTAATATTACTTGATCCGTAAACCTAAACATGTTCCTCAAAGTTGTATGTATAAACATGTACTTTATAAATGGGCTACATTTCAAATATATACAGTACCTGCAAGTCGAATTCTATCGGTCATATTACAATGTGGTTATTAGTAAAAACGATTTAACTTCTTGTGAACTATATTTGGACATTAAGTCTTGAAAGTAGTTAGTAGAAAACCTTGTAAATCTAGGTTTTATCGTATTTGGCATTCATCAGTAAATCTTATCTACAATATTAAAGAGATTGATATTCCTCAGTGAATTCGAATCCGACTTGGAGCATTATAGTCTGAAATGTTATCGAGCAACAACTAATTCATCACTGTAGGAATTTTCAGAAATCTCTACTCTTTCGTTTATTGCAAGTTCATTTTTCTAAATCCACACTGTATCCAATTTGTGTAAAATATTAATAATGATTCTGTCATTTGTACAAGAAATGAACAGTGAGGTCTGTTATATGCTGTAGTTTTATGGCTAATTAGACTATAATTTACCCTTATAGTTTCGAAATCATGCTTCTTTAATTTGATATGTTAGAAATCCATCCGAATGATTAATAATCTTTGTATTCGGTAATGTATGAGTTAGAAATTTCTCAATTTGTTGAACAACTAGTGTATAGTCTCAGTCAATTGATCATCGTTTTACTAAAGAAAATTTCCATAACTTGATCGAATGTATTGACATGTCCACTTAAATGATAGAATTCAGCAATTGTTAATCATTATGACATACATCTGAATTCTTACAAAAGTCTTAAAAGAATCAATGATCTAGAAAATTTCTCGCAAAAGACAAACAATGACCAGGAAACACTAAGAAGCGTTTTATCCTATCAGTGTTTACTTGAGGTTTTAGCCAGAAATATGAAAGAAATGAAATGTCACATGTACAGGTTCTGATTGCTATACTGCTACTATGTTTAGTAGCATTCCAGAATCTTCGAACAACCCAAGGACATTTAAAATATTATAAAAACTCTATATTTTCTGTGTTGAAATGAACCTTAGAGTAAAGAACTTCTCGCATATTTTGCGTTCTTTCTTTCTCGTTGTTCAGGTCGCTGTAAAGTTCTAGCTTGGGGGTTGCAAATTTGCTTAGGAAACGAATATAGCGTTCAATTTGCAAGACTTATCAGTTTATTTTTTTCATTACAAGTTACGTTTTATAAATGGAATATTTAATTAAATGGTGTATACATGAGGTTTGAAAGTATGGTTCTTAGGTAGTTTCGGTTACTAATCATTGTTTATTTGAGACTATTATGATTCATAGATAAGTAAAGTAGTGGCCACTCTACAACTTGATCCTTCAGCACTGGAAATACACGATAATAAGGTAAACACTTGGAATGTGTTAAAATCCAACCTTCCTTGAGATTAGTATAAACTGCAACATGATTGCCGTAGGGCTTTGTAATTTCCTATTTTAATCTTCAACAGGGTGCCGCAGATACAATCAAGTTCATAGTTGGTGATTCAAATGGTCTGAGCGCTGTCTACAACTTATTCCTCGAGTAGCCCTACACACGTCGGTTTGTAAAATTGAATATCGCTGGACCGTACATGCCAGTTGTGCCAGCTTCCAAAGAGGAGAAGATTTGGGAAAGACTCTGGAGGTGGATAGGATGTACAATACATAAATCATTACACTTCTTTACATAACAAACCCTGATTCGAAATTCTCAAAGCAAAAGGAAAAGCGGCAGACGAATAAACATATGGTGTAAGGAATTGTAGTCAGATATTAAAGAATGAGTAGTACTTGATAACAACTGGAAAGTAGACACCAAGACAGAGTTGGTTGGAAGTCTCCAGATTGGGGTTTATATCCCAAGAGGGATAGAAGACATAAATAATAGTAATATTAAATAGTGATTGATAATTTATACACACTTTCGTATACTACTATTGCTGTGTAGTAAATTATCATTAGTAGTATATACTTCCGTGTTTGTTTTTTCCCTAATTATCTTATATTTTTCGAGAAAAATGTGATTAAAATGAGGTAGAATATGTATCAGTCAGTCAGCTACAAAGTACTACCAGGCACATATTGGCATCGGTTCAAGTTGTCATACCGCATTAGCACAACAAGGTGAACATCGGATTCATTGAAGTAGTTAATTCAATGGTGGTAATACATAAAAGAAAGATTGCACATAAGGATATAGTACATGAACAAAGAATTAGTTCGTAGAAACATATAATGCAATTGAAAAAGTATCGAAAACGTGTTGACTGAAGAATTTTTGGTTTATCTTGAGGTAATATGATTATTCTAAGCAAAGATGAATAATAACTAGCAGTGGAATTCAGGAGGCGCATTTCGTTTTATTTGGGATGAATCAATTGGATGTGCATGCATCCCGGAGTTGATAATTACTTTGGGACTCGAACCCAGTACCGTTCGCTTCAAACGCCACTGCGCTATCCACGTAGTTACTGAGTTCATATATCCATTAGCTTGTACAATGGGTTGGAGTTTAAATTCACTTGGTATTGTTTACTTGAATCTTCTCATCGATGTGTAGGATTGCAATTGATCAGTCTCTTATTAGCCACTATCCATCTTTGCTTGTAATGATTGTGACTTAAGGCAATACGCACTTATACCTGGAGAAGTTCAGACAAGTTAGCTGGACAAAACGTTGAAATTATTTAAATTTCAATCACTGAGATTATTTCAAATATAATTCTCACTTATAATGACTTCTCTATACTCGGCGCACAATTTCTGTCAAACTATTCGTTCTAATCTTGATGAATATTCGTATCAAGTGAATTTGCGTTATTATTTACACAGAAAAATCGAAAATTAATGAATCAGTACAGGGAAGTTAATTATACACACATTTTTCATATTTAAGAATAAATTGTATATTTCTCTATGGGCTGATGAGAGCACAGTGACAAATAAGAACTAAAAGACACCATACAGATCTTTCTTTTTTACCTAAAGATTTCACAGAAGTAAATACCTATGACTTAATATGCGATCGAACCTAAAATACTCAATTCTTGCGGTGAGTGAATTATCTTTTAGATCATTGAGCTTATGTTGATCGATCCACATTTCTAAATGAGATCATTCCGTGATATGGTATAACTACTAATCACTATTATCAGTGATGATTATCTTACTCCGATTGTTGTTGAACTCAACAATTCAAGATTCTTCATTAGAATTTCGAGGATCCATATCAATTTCTAGCATTAGAGATCATATTCGTTTACTTGATACTATGCTTAAATTCTTTGCTTACAAATAGGAATGGACTGTGTTTTTTTTTGGAGAATCAAGGTTATTGATACTCACTATTAGGGTCAATTATCTATCGAACATACCCTGGCACATCGCATAATTTGACCTTTGGTACTAAGCATATATAACCATTAAACTAGTATTTTTAGAATTTGCATTTAACTACTTATGAGTAGTATAATGTGTAAATGATCATTTTAAGGATATTTTTAGAAAATCTAGATGCCATTTCGTAATCCTGAAACAATTCTAACTACATACTATTACCAGTTTAAGGGGTTTGTGGAGATTGTTGAATATTACTGGGTATAGAAACTGACATGATTTACATACTCTTTGAAACTAGGAAACACTAGGTAACTTTCATTCAGCGCTTTCTGTTTTCGGTAACATTCACCAGTCATTGAATTTGATATTCATTAGATATTAGAATCAAGTGAGAATCGAGCATCACTATGCCAGTTGTTTCATACTAGTTTCCAACTTCATAACGTTTCTCACACACGATAGTTTAACAGATTAAGCCTAGGATCTTTAGATTTCGTTATGAGAACTTAAACTGTCGGTCAATTATTTAAAATCCTATGGTTATTATTTCCTTTTTCAAACGGGTTTCACTATAGCACGATATTATCCAATCTGATCGGCGAGTGAGTAACTACTATTTCACACGATTGAAATCCATCTACCTTGAATTTACTGATAAAATTTGCTCACAAAGTGTTGAATTCAAACAGCGATTATTCATGAGAACTGTTCGTCTGTACCTGTAACAGATGTTGAGGTAGGCAGGTAATAGTCGGCTTCAACTCTGAACAAATGTTTGTTAAGCAAAATCAATAATACTTACGCATAACCTTGGAAATAAATCTGTCGAAGACTTAGTTTCACACCACCTAACAACTGTGATATGTTACCATTTCAATGTATTATAAAGCCACAAATCGATCGATATAATTTGAATAGTTACTTACTTACTTACTTATGCCTGTTACTCCCAATGGAGCATAG